CCGCGGCCGCGTCGGTCGCGCCAAACCAGCTGGACGCTGCGCGTGCGAGCATGCGCGGGTTTGCGCAGCCGCAAAGGTGCACCGGCCAACGCCAAGCACTCATCGCAATCGCCGCCGCATGGTCTTATTCAAGCCAAGTTGCCGGTGGGTGGGTGGGATGATTGCGCGAGCATGGGACTTGATAGTTGATGGCGAATAACAGTTTTCTGCACCACGTATATTGTAACACGTAGCCCGCGCAACATCTATTAATTGTACCACATAGAGCGCATAATATACGCAATGCAACACATAGCGCGCACGACATAGAAGGCACATTATAAAAATGGACCGCGTAGCATAAAGTGCACAACATAGATTGTCTCACGTAGAGTCTCCTTCTCTGAAAAGAGTAGACTCTCCCTCCCCCCCGGCTTTATCGGTACCCCTTTCGGGTATGTAAATCACATACGATTCTGACCACATGTCCATCCTAAATATGAAATCGCAATGTCCCAGGCCAGCCGGTATCCCCCCTGAAGTTCCATGGTAAAAAAAACACTATGCGGGGACATTTTTTGTTCAAACATAACACTTTTTCGCGAATCCCGTTGTAAAAAATGGGACGAAGTGCACACGCGCGCGTCGTCGCGCGCGCATGCCGAAATCCTTCAAAAAACCTTCGGTGCCGGAAGGATTTCGCAATCGAGTTTCCAAACAATCATACAAAAACACATGCTTTCGAAACACACTGATTTGCTAAAAAAGCTTCCGCGCGAGCTCTTGCGAAATCTTACGAAAAGCATAGGTTTTTCAAGATTTTCACAAAATGGTATCAAACGGGCTTCGCGCGCGCGCGCATGTCGAAATCTGTCGAACGCCCTTGCGCGTGTACCGTCGCGAGAATCCTCTGCAAAAAAAATTGGACGGAGTGCAGACGCGCGCGTCGTCGCGCGCGTACGCCGGAATCCTTCGAAACCCATCGGTTTCGGAAGGATTTCAAAATCGCTTGTCCAAAAAATAAAAAAACGACAAAAAAACAAGGTTTCGCAACACGGATTTTCAACAAAAGCGTGCGCGCGCGCTCTTGCGGCGTCGTCGTCGTCGTCGTCGTTGTCGCCGTCCTCCCTCCTCCCGCGTCGTCGTCGTCGTCGCCAACGTCGTCCTCTGTCTTTCCTCGTGTTCGTCGTCGTCGTCCTCGTTGGCGTCGTGGTCGTTTCCGTCGTCGTTGTCGCCGTGGTCGTCCTTCCTCCTCCTCCCTCGTCGTCGTCGTCGTCGTCCGTCGTCGGCGTCTCGTCGTCGTCCCTCCTATTTCGTCGCCGTTGTCGTCGTCGTCGTCGTCGTCGTCTCGTCCTCGTCTTCCCTCCTCCCTCATCGTTGTCGTCGTCGGCGTCGCCGTACTTCCTCCTTCTTCGTCGTTCGCGTCGTCGCCGTCCTCCCTCCTCCCTCGTTGTTGTCGTCGTCGTCGTTGTCGCCGTCGTCGTCCTTCCTCCTCCCTCGTCGTCTTCGTTGGCGTCGTCGTCGTCGTCTTCGTCGGCGTCGGCGTCGGCGTCGTTGTCGTCGTCGAAGTCGTCGGAGTCGTCGTCGGTGTCGTCGTAGTCGTTGTCGTCGGTGTCGTCGTAGTCGGTCTTAAGAGGTTTTGCAGACCAAGTTGCGGGTGGGTGGTTTGCAAGAGCGTGGGATGTGGCAAATCATGTGTAAAAATCGCTACAAAGAGAATCGACTCTACCCCCCCCCGGCGTTATCGGTACCCCTTTCGGGTATGTAAATCATGTATGATCCTGACCACATGTCCATCGTAAAAACAAAATCACAATGTCCCAGGCCAGCCGGTATCCCCCCCTGCGGTCCCTTTGTAAAAAAAAACACTATGCGGTGACATTTTTTGTGTTCTAACATAACACTTCTCACGAATCCCTTGCAACAAATGGGACGAAGTGCACACGCTCGCGTTGTCGCGCGCGCATGCCGAAATCCTTCAAAAACCTTCGGTGCCGGAAGGATTTCGCAATCGAGTTTCCAAAAAAAAAACATACAAAAACACATGGCTTCGAAACACACTGATTTACTAAAAAAGCTTCCGCGCGAGATCTTGCGAAATCTTACGAAAACCATAGGTTTTTCAAGATTCTCACAAAATTGTATCAAACGGGTTTCGCGCGCGCGGATGTCGAAATCTGTCGAACGCCCTTGCGCGTGCACCGTCGCGATAGTCCTTGACAAAAAATGGGACGAAGTGCAGACGCGCGCGTCGTCGCGCGCGTATGCCGAAATCCTTCGAAACCCATCGGTTTCGGAAGGATTTCAAAATCGCGCATCCAAAAAACCTACAACAACCCAAGGTTTCGCAACACGGATTTTCAACAAAAGCGTGCGCGCGCGTTCTTGCGTCGTCGTCGTCGTCGCCGTCCTCCCTCCTCCCGCGTCGTCGTCGTCGCCTACGTCGTCCTCTGTCTTTCCTCGTGTTCGTCGTCGTCGTCCTCTTTGGCGTCGTGGTCGTTTCCGTCGTCGTTGTCGCCGTGGTCGTGCTTCCTCATCCTCCCTCGTCGTCGTCGTCGTCCGTCGTCGGCGTCTCGTCGTCGTCCCTCCTATTTCGCCGCCGTCGTCGTCGTCGTTGTCGTCGTCGTCGTCTTCCTTCCTCCCTCGTCGTTGTCGTCGTTGGCGTCGCCGTCCTTCCTCCTTCTTCGTCGTTCGCGTCGTCGCCGTCCTCCCTCCTCCCTCGTCGTTGTCGTTGTCGTCGTTGTCGTCGTTGTCGTCGTTGTCGTCGTTGACTGCGTCGTCGTCGTCGTCTGCGTCGTCGTCGTCGGCGTCGTCGTCGTCGTTGTCATTGTCGTCGTCGTCGGCGTCGTCGTCGTCGTCGGTGTCGTCGTCGTCGTGGTCGCTGTCATCGTCGAAGTCGTTGGAGACGTCGTCGGTGTCGTCGTCGTCGGTGTCGGCGGCGCCGTCGTCGTCGTTGTCGCTGTTGTCGTCGGCGTCGGTGTCGCGGCCAAGTGCCATCTGGTATCTACTGTCACGGTCTTGTCTTAAGAGGTCTTGTGACCAAGTTGCGGGTGGGAGGGTGGGATTCAATGGACCGCGGATGGGGCCAGGTTGGATGGGGTGGGGTGGGGTGTGAAAAAGCACTGGGAGGGAATTAAAAAAGCCTTGCTGCAACAAGCAAAACCTCGCAAGGATGAGGCCAACCAAAATAGAAAATATGCATTTGGATTTTGCACGGAGTCGCCAGGAGTAGATCGCACACAGACAGAACGGCATGACTACAAATGCCGAGGTTTCAATGGCCACACGGATTGGCGCTATGTCACCGAAGGTTTTTTCTGGGTCGGCGTTGCAGCGTAAGCGGACGACTTGTGCGGACCCAGCGCCATCGAGAGTGAGGATGGCGGAGTGCGCTAACAACAGCACAAAGGCGAACGAATCAGTCAGCGGGCGTGGCTCCCCAAAACGGTGCCAACCAACGCGGGCCATGTATGCCCTTTCCCCTCCACGAAAGGAGGCACCCGTGCAACGGCACGGACTCTTCGGCGTAAGAAGTGCCGTGCATGGACGCTTGCGTCCACACTGTTTGAGCCAAAATGGCGGTGGGTGGAGGAGGCGACGACGACGACGACGGCAGCCGCGGCGGCGACAGCAACAATCGACGACGACCATGACGACGATGGTGACAACGACGGCGACGCTGACGGCGATTTCGGCGGCGGCGGCGACGGCGACGACAGAAGCGGCGACGGCGACGATGGCGGCGACGACGACGGCGTCGACGGCGATGGCAGTGAAGATGACGACAACGATGGTGAGGGTAACGGCGGCGACAACGACGGCGACGGCGATGACAACGACGGCGATGATGATGGCGGTTGCGACGGCGGCCACGTCGACGACGAAGGCAACGAGGATGAAGTTGACGATGACAACGGCCGCGACTAGGACGGCAGCGACGACGACGAAGACTGCGGCGTCGACGGCGGCGACGACGACGTCGATCCCAAAACGTAAGGATGCAAAGCGAGCTCGTATCGTCGCCAGGGTGGTGACCTTCTATCGTGCAAAACGTCGCCAGAGATCTTGACTGTGTGTGTGGTCGCAACTTTTGTCAAACCTCATGGGGCTGCGGATTGGCAACGGAAGCGTGCCATGTCATTGTTGGGAGGTTTGGGGGCCGTCGCTTAGGATCGACGGCAAGGACAGCGACGGCGAAGACGACGAAGGCGACCGACGACCATGATCGACGAATGACGGCGGCGATGACGCCAGCAACAATCAAGGATTGCGCGCCAGGGAGCGGGAGGGATGGGAGGGCGCAGGAGGAAGATGAGAGGGGATGGGGGGGGAGTGAAGGAGGACCGATGGCCCAAGCAGCCGAGGAGGGCCTTTGGCCATCAGAGGGCCCCGAGGTCCACAAGCGTTCTGGCCCGAACACGGTAGAGTCCCAGCATCAAGTTCGAAATTCGAAGAGGTGGGTCCAGAGAGCCTTAGGCAGACCAGAACATCAGATTCGAATGACAGTTTAGAGTGGTTGACGTCGAGGTGGGCCCTATATGGTTTCGACGAATGGTACCCATATTGGCATGCAGAGGCACACGCATAATGTTAATATGACACATCGCGAAGGCAGTTAGCTCGCGTCATGACACCGAGACGGCACTCAAGAGGCCCCAAGGCAATGATGCAACGAATGGCACCGAGATAGGCCAGAGAGATGTTTGCAACGGTCAGTTAGTGCCGAAGAGGGCTCCCAGGCAACATTGCAACGGATGGCGTTAGTACGAAAACGGCCCAGACGGCGCCAAGACGGCACTGAGATGATTCCGAGAGAATGTGTCATATTGAGGCGCGTTGATGGTTGCATTTTGAAGTGTTTCTCTTGGGCATTTGAGGCACCAGGAGTCGCTCGATGGGCCTCGATTGTCCAGCGGCCCCTCCCCCTCCCCCAGCATGCAGGGAGGGAAGGCGCGGATGAGGGGAGGATGAGACTGCTTGGTTTTCTCGCTGTGCAAAAAAGCGCGGCACGACCGCGAACTTCACTTAGCAGCGGCCTCCCGCTTGCGAAGTTCCGCCGCAGCCGCGGCGTCTAGGTCAGCCTCGGGGCTGGGCAACAGGTCTTTGGTCCGAGCATCGGTGTAGACGTGTCGGTTGCGCCCAGCCTCTGGAATGCCGCGCCCTATCAGCAGCCACTGCTTCACTCTCATCCTGCAGGTCTCGTACGACAAGCCAGGGTTGCCGTCCTTGCCCTTGCCCATGGTGACATGCTTCACGCAGAGGTGGTGGGGCGCGGCGGGGTCGACATGGTCAAGGCAGCGCGCCTCCCATCCGATGCAGATGCCACCAGTGTAGATCTCTGCGATATGCCACGGCCCGAATGGCTCCGAACGCGGAGCTTTCGAGCCGTGTGCGATCAGGGCGCCGCCCTCCGCCTTGCCAGCTTTCGCCTTCTTATGCGGGGGCAGCGGGGGCGGGGCAGCGCCGCTGCCCGCGGCGATACCAGCGCCAGCGCTATGGCCGCCAGGTGGCCCAGGCGGGAGCGGCACTGGGCTTGGCACGCTGCCTCCGCCGCCGCCGCAGCCATCTGAGACGGCGCTGGCCTCGGCACCGACAACTCCTGCGGGGCACCCTGCAAGTCCTCCGTCGGGATCCACAGCAGGACCGCCAGCAGGTAGCTCAGGCCCGCTCGCTGCAGCGACTTTGGCGATCGCCAGCTTTGCGCTGATCCCCGAGGAAAGCTTGCCCTTGAAGAGCTTCTTCTTGCCCTTCTCGTCCGCGACGGCCCTCTTGGCCTCTCGCCTGGTTTTCCTCTTCTCGATCATGCGCTTCACTCTCTGTTTCTTCAGCACCGTGCGGAACGCCTGGATCTCGCTGCAATTCTGGGCGTCGTGGGCTAAGATCTCATCGAGCATGCTAATGAAGTCCTCTCCGAGCTCCTCCGCGCCCAGATCGTCCTCGCTGTGCTTGCGGAGGGCGGCAGCGCACTTCGCTATGAGTTCTGGGAACCCTGCAAACGTCAGCTCAGTCAGCTTTTCGCGAGCAGCCCCCGCCGTGATCGTGGCAGGGTCGCCGAGGTCTAAGCCCATCAAGTTCGCGACGTCCTTCATGTGGTCCAGGGCCAGGGGCATGCCTGCAAGGAGCGCCGCCGCCAGCGGCGTCATGGGCTCCTCCGACGCCAAGAGCACCCTGCCAACGCCAGCGAGAAACGTTATCTTGGATATGTTCGCCACCTTGTAGTCCGAAGGGTTGGTAACGAAATAGTCGTGGAACGCGCCCTTGCCAGAACGCATTCTGAAATAACTCACGTCGCCTTTACGGCCGCGGTCGAGGTCGCACACGAATAGACTCCATAACTGTTGGCTGACGACCACCATTGCCGAACCAGAGGGTGAGTGCAACAATATAGAAAGTTCTGGAACCATCCTGCCATGCCATGAGCTCAGAAGGTTTGGCCTATTGCTTCCCAGTTTCGCCCATGCCTGAAGCCATGCCCATGCTGAGCACGCCTTTGCATACGACTGTCCATTCGGCGAGCTGTATTCGAAGCCTCTGTCGAGTATTCGTCGGAGTGCAGGTGTCAGAAGCGTCTGGTCGCCGCTGAACTCGGCGGCGAGGGAGTCCTGATTGTCACGATGGCAGATGTTATGGGACACCTCCTCGTCGCTCAGCTGAAACGTCTTCATGCCGCGCGAACCAGCAATGTTGCACTCCTGCTGCGCCCTGTAGAGCCGATTCGGAGCGATGGTCGTGTTCCTCTTGGCCCGACCCTCGTCTCGAATGTGCTGGTGCACGTCTTCTGGCCCCTTGGAGTCTGGCCAGTGCTCCGTGGCGGCAGTTGCAGTTCGAATGAAACCATCGGCGATGTCCAGCTCAGCCCCCAACTCTCTCTCATTCTGCCCAAATGCTAGTCGATTGATCGGCCACCTCAACCAGAATATGTCGCCCAGTAGTTGTTTCGCATCTGGTCTGGACAAGGCCGCCTTCTCCACCTCCAGGATGAGTTTCCAATCGAACATGATGATATCTCGCCTAACTTTCAGTTTTCCCTGCGTGCTCAAGCCTTGGCCGAGTGCCAGGCGAAACTTCCCTGGGTAGCAAAAGAGCTCTGGCGCGATGGAGTCGTACCTCTCTTTCAAAACCCTCATCATGAACTCGAATGCCTCGGCGCCGCGTTGGCCATCTGGGTCGTTAGCCGAGACCAAACCCATCTCGCCGATCTTCGTCACGTCGTTCATGCACGTGGCGACCGTCTGTATGAACTCGTCCTCCCAGGCGCCAGTCTGCAATTTGTAGTCGTAGTTCTTCCCCTGTGCAATGGTCTTGACCTGGCTCGACCTGAAACCATACTGGTGCCGCTGCGCGCAAGTAGTCGTCACAAAAATCGAAAGCGAACTGTACAAGTCATCGTTGATGAAAGAGAACGCCTTCTTGACAGTGCCCGCCTGCTTCGAAATCTCCTGCTGCACGTCACCGTCCGTGGCCCCCCGACTAGTGCCCGCGTGGACAACTGTGGAGAGTCCATCCCCTTTGCCGTGCTCGTCTGACATCAATTTGAGGACGGCCCGAAGGCCCCACAGCTCTTTCTTGTGCCACTCCCAGCAGTCGTTGATGCTCACGAAGCGCATCAACTTCAAATGAGGCCCGACCTCGTTGCAACTGCGAAGTTTACCCATCCGTCCGAAGATCTCTTGGATGCCTGATGCAGACGCAGAGTCGACGCCAATGGCCGCGCCGAACTTAGAAGCCACCTCCAAGAACTCTGGCGAGGACTCGTTGTAGATCTGGCACCATCGACGGCAGGCCTCCTCTAGGAAGGCGAGCGCCCTAACCGCCCAGCTGGGATGGCGAGGAGGGGGATGGGGAGGAATGAGTCCGAACGGCTTACCCGAAAGGACCACCAAAAAAAACCCTGGCCTCGTTAAAAGTCTGAAATCCTGATTGTTTGGGTTTTGCTGTTGGTTTCGTACCAGAACGCCCCCGTCCTTGGATGTAATTGCCAGAGCCCAGCGCTCCGTGCTTCCCTCCATGCGCGATTTCGGGCGGGTCGTTCGGTCCATTCCTTGTCTGCCCCCTCCTCGCGGCTCCCATTGGATGGTGGTCGCTTGCCTTCCTACACCTACAATGGCCATCGTCGCTCCTTCTTGAGGTCGAACCACTGCCCCGATCGATACGGTCCCGAATTCATGTTGCAGATGGTGACGAACTCCAGCACCTTCTTCCACATGTAACCTTTTTTCCTCCCACACCATGGCCCAACACGCTTCGCACTGTTCTTGAGAGCATTCCACAAAGCATGCAACGGGTCGAACCAGGGAACGAACAAGTACTTCTGCGCAATCAAGAAATGCAGTAAAGATGAATTGATGGAGCTGCGATCTGTCGTGTGCGAAACTATCGGGAACTTGAACGCCCAGAACTCAGGTGGTATCTCCACTGAAGCCTCGACCTGGTCCTGATTGAAAAGGACTTGCGCTCCCTCCAGTGGAAGTCGCCTCTCTCCGTTCTGCACTGGCCGTAAGTGCAGACCAGGTGCGAGGCAGAAATCGGCAAGCGGCCGATCAGTTAGCTGTGCGATCTCCGTGAGCACAACGCACATGTTCAAGAATGCCGCCTCCCTGTCCATCTTGTCCGAGGCCCACACCTCGGCAAGTTCAGGATCGTCAGCGATGTATTGCAAGTCCACTTTCTTGCGAATCGCCTTGAAGGCAAAACCTGCGGCAACCGCGATGCGGCATGGGCCTTGGGCTCTGCGGACCCCGCCCCCAGGCCGCCCGCGGCCCGAAGGGAAGACGAAGGTTCCACCGCTGAAGGACGGGGGTGGTCGACCTACCCCCCGCGGGTAAAGTTGAGGTGAGGCCCGCCGAGGGCCGACCCAAGGCGACCCGCCCCCTGGGGGGGAAGTTGAGGTGAGATCCAAGTTAGGTTGCCTAAACGCCACCTCGCACCAGAGAAAAACCTGATGCAAAAACCTGGGGAGATTTTTGCATCATGTTTAGGAGATTTTCGCATCATTGTTTTTATGAGGTTTCCCCACTCTAAATCCATGATTTCCAGGCCCCCAGGAGAACCTAACCCCTGCCTGCCCCCGCGTCGTTGAGAGGATTCCCCCCTGGAGAGCACTGATCCCTCTGTGGGTCCGTCGGAAGGGGGGGCGCCTATCAGAGGCCGCCAGTGCGGTTGCCGCAGATCACGCCTTCGGGCACATGTCACCCGCGATGGGGTCACCAGGGACTGCGGTTTCGGCGACCAGGCCGACGTTGTAGCTCCGCCGCGAATACCCACCTGGGTCCCACGCCATCGCCAACGAAGCCGCTCCTCTGAAAGCATCCTTCATCTTGTCCCTGTGCAGCTTAGCCATCGCGTAGCTGATCTTGCTGTCCAGGTCCTTCAACCCGATCACCGCTGTCACAGTCTGGTTGGACGAGCCAGCGACCTCCCTTGCTCTGCGAATCGCTGCGACGATTGCTTGGGGGTCGAGGCGTCGACGGTGTTCCATGCACCTCAGCTCCTCCAGTCGGTCTTGCATGCCAGGGTCCTGCGTGGGGATGTGGTGGAAGAGGATGTATGCCTCCATACCGAGGGCGAGCGCCTTGCAGCAAAACGCCAGAACTGCCGCAGCACCTGGAGCAAAGCGTTGGCGGGGTTCACCAACCCGCGAAGTCAAATTCGATACCACAAACAACAACACTGACACGACAGAATGCGCATCCCCTGGGATGCGGAGATTGCTCAACTTCCCAGCGCCCGCCAAGAATCTAGCCCAGCCATCGCGCAAGCGCGGGCTAGCAACCGCCTCGCCCCAACCTTCGACTGCTCCATTGGTAAAGTCCAGCGTCAGACGGTCGGAGGTCAACCTGCCCTCGAACTGCGCCTCAGCAGTAAATGCACGTGCCGCGGGGACGCGGCGCAGTCCGTCAACCGAAATCTGTAACCACGTGCTGACGGTACTTGAAATTGGCGAGCGCCCATTGTCATCGGAACTGTGAATGAATTTGTACAGCAGCCACGGCAACATCAAGTCGGTCCTCAACGAGACGCTGGCGACGCCGCCGCTGCCGCCGAGGTCGTGCGAGCCATCATCCAGGGTGTACGCTTGGCTAAGGTGCTGGAACAACATCTTTCGTTTCTCAGACTTGTGGAAATCTCCGTAGTTCTTCACGCCGAGCTCGACCAGCCAGTGGTCTTGCAGCCAGAAAAGTGAAGTCCCCAAGTCTTGGCTCGCGAGCTGGAAGACTGCGTAGCCCTCCCGCGTGAGCCCCTTGATGTTGATCGTTGCCTCCGTTGTCCTGTCCCATGTCAGGGACGTGGGCGACCGCTGCCGCCTGCCCTCATTACCAAGGTCGCCCATCGGCGCCAGCCGACGGCATCCAGCTGGCGCAGTTGGAGGCGATGCCTCCAGCAAGCCAAACGGCTTGAGCCAAAATGGCTGCGGTCGGCGGAGGAGGAGGCAGTCTGGCGGGAGGGGGGGGTGCGGGAGGGGTGGGGAGGGTTGAGGATGGTAGGATGGGAAGCGGGAGCGATGCCCTTTGCCGTCCAGGGGGAGGGAGGCTTTGAGTACCAGAGGCCCCAATATCCAGAAGCGCCCCGACTCAAACGCTACCGACCCTCAAGGCCACGCGCGGTGTTCCGAGGGGCTCCGAGATGGCTCAAGACAGGCTTGCAATAGGTTCGAAGCAAACACCGCAACGCATGATTGCGAAACAGGCCCGAACTAGTGTTGCAACGATTGGTACCGCAGTTTGCACCTACAGACATGGTCCTAAGAAGATGTTCCAGAGCGGTGAGACCTAGATTAGATGGCTTCGAGATGCCCCCGAGAAATCATCCCGCCTCTGAGGTAAGCGTTGCTTGGGATCTGGTCCGAGACTGGTTTGCAACGATTTGTATCGCAGCTTGCACCTACAAAACTGGCCCTAAGATGTTACACCACGATGGGGGCCTCGATGACACCGTTAAGTCCTTGAGAGAGCTCCGAGAGGCATTGAGACCTCAGAGATCGTTGGAAGGTACATCTCGGCTGGCCCCTTTGTGAGCCTCCGAGGGGTGAGGACTCGCGCCATATGAGCCTCCGAGGGATCATGAGGTTGCGAATCTGCGCTCGATCAAATGGAATGGTGCAGTCACAGTTGCCCTAGCACGCGCGAGCTCGGCTGCTGCCCACATGCTTACCCCAGCCCACAAGTGGAGCGCGCGCAATCTTTCATTGTTAGATTGCGAGCCCTCAACGCCCACTGCGGTTGAGCAAAACGCAGCCGACGTTCAAACTAGAGCGACGCAAGGATGGTCAGTTAACCTCAGCATGCTGTCTCATGAATGCGATCACACGTTATCATGGCTGTTATTGTTATGTGTTCTGACCAACCAGTCTACGCCAAACAAAAACTGGGCAATGCGACTGGCGAGGTTCGCAACGGCACCTCGGACGACGGCGCACCTGCTTCAGAGGGCGCCGTCATTATCGCCCTCACTCGCCGCATCCGTCTTGCACTTCTTCTCGGGCGGGGCACCCTCGAGAGGAGCTGGGGGCTGGCTGGGCTCAGGAGCGGGAGCCGAGGCTGCTTTCGGCGCCCCCAGCTGCGCAAGCTTCTGCAAAAGCTCAGGGGTCAGCTGCAGCTTGCCATCGGTCGTGAGCTTGAGCCCCTTGCCCTGGAACGGAACGAAGCTAGGCAGCGTCGCGTCCCCTGACGACCCTGCTGATGGGTCGGCCGCGCTGCTGGCGGCGCCATGGCCACTGGGCTCGCGCGCGGCTGCGGCCTGAGGCGAACCGTCCGCGTCGGCGAACAGCTCTGCTTCGAATTCCGCCTGAGACGTGAACTTGGGAACCTCTAGCGCCGCCGGCGCCCCCTTGCTCGTCGCTGGCTTCCCGACCTCCTTCATGTTCGGAGCAGGGACCCGCTCCATCGGCTGGGGCGCATGCTGATGGACGCCTCCGCCCTCGATGAGCCCCCCCCTGCGCGCGACGGGCATGCACTCGACGGGGTAGCCCAACCGCTTCGCCATGGCGTTGGTGTTGCCGAGGTCTGCGCTCAGGTCATTCAGGCGCGTCGGGTACACGCTGATGGTCCTCTCGATTTCTGCAGCGATTGCCTCCCTCATCTCTCCCTTGCTCTTCGCCGTGAAGTCCTTGATGCGCGTCTCGGGGCCCAGATTGCTCGCGATGAAGATCAGCTCGTCCACTGCGTCGTCGTCGAGGCCGCTGAGCAGTATAGGCGAGAAGCGCTTGCTGTCGTAAGACTGCAGCGCCTGCACCTTCATCCTCCGTGGGAGGACGGTGCGCGCGTTGAATTTCCAGGCCGCCCCGAGGTAGCGGTAGGACGTGGAGACCCGCTGCGACTCGTCCCCGAACAGGAGCTTGCAAGGAGACTCCCCGTCGGGGTTGGCGACGGCTGCGACCGACCTGCCCAAGACGGGCTGCGAGGCAGTCGATTCCTGCGCCGCTGGAATTGACTGCGATTGCGCTGTCGCTGGCGCAGGCTGGTTCTGCGCAGCTTGCTGCGCAGACAGTAGCAGCGCCAATTGCCCGATGTCCGCATGTGGAGGCGGCGGCAGCTGGGGCGGCGTGGCCTGCGCGACGCTGCCCATCTGCTGCATGGCCATGCGAAGCAAGAGGTTGGTGAGGTCTGCATGGCCAGCCATGGTGTTGTTTGGCTGGCACGTGCAACGAAGCCGCGCATGCTTGATGAGCGAGGTTTGAGCCGAGATGCTTACGGAGAGTTGGCATTGCCGTTTAACGTGCGTGTTTGTTTGGTTTGATTCGGTGCGCTTGGGCACTCTCGGCGCCTCTCGTGCGTCGTGCGTGCTCGTCGCGTCCGAATGTTTCGGGCTGCGTTTGCGCTGCTGCTGAACGCTCGGGCACCGAATGGGGATTGAGCGGCCCCCGAGCAACCCGACACTTTAGACCAACAGGCGTTTCGACGAGGCACGGAGCGCTTCCCAACCAGCTCGAGGCCTCGATGGGGCCTCGACGGGGCACAAGCGACGCCGCCAGCGATCTCATGTAGACGCTGAGGGTCTAGCAGAGAGGAGCGCAAAGAGGAGGCCGTCGACAAATAGGAGCGAATGGCCAAGGATGTGACGAGGCGGACGGGGAGGATGACGAAGAGGAGGTAACAAGGGCGTCGACGTCGACGACGACGGCGACTCGACGATGACGACTACCGACGAAGCCAAACGACATTTCTTCGACGCGTTCGTTTCGAACTTGAGGGGCCGTCAACGTCGCGTTCGTGAAAGGGTGGGTTCGGCCGATCTTCCTTCTGTGAGTTCCTCCTCCTCCTCCTCCTCATCCCCCTCGTCATCATTTTCTCAAGGTGGCCTGCCGCCGCCTCTCCTTTCTCTCAAGTGGCTTCGGCCGCTATTGATTCTATAGCATATGCACTATCATTGCAGTTGCGATCGCAGAATGTCAAGGCGAAGCCAGCGCCGAGACGAGGCTGCACCGTTTCTGGAGGGACAATGGGGCCACGACGAGGGGGACGTAGCAGGCACCATTGGGGATCCCTGGCAACCGACGGTCTCCCAACTTCAGTTTCTCGAACGCCCAGGCTCGCCAATCGATCGGTGCCGCCTGGCGGTGCGATGCCGATGCCGACATCAAGAGAGCGAAAGCGCGGCCGAACTGTCTACGGGCATCAAAAAAGTCGCAGGTGGCCCTGACATATCCATTCGCATCGCTGACTGCACAAGCCTCCTTCGGTGACTCTTTGCGCTTGGGAGGGCGCTCGACCACTGACAACATACAACTTCAATGGACAACTGGCACTGTGAACACTTGATTCCAAAAACGGCGGAGTGTAAACAAACCTGGCCCAAGGAGTTCCCTTTCACGAAAGCACCTGGAAACCGACGGTGGACACACGCGGGCATTGTGAGAACTCACCTGTCCGAAGGAAAAGGCTGAGCAGGGGTCGCGCCGACCCGTCGACTGAAGCTAGAGGCTCAGTCACTGTCGCTGCTGCTGCTGCCCTGCGCAGGGCCACCGCTCGAAGAAGGCTGACCACCCTCGACGCGCGGGGCTGGGACGGGCTGCGGCTCTTTCTTCGCCAGGAAGCACTTCTTGTAGCCGTAATCGACGGCGACATCCTCGATGAAGAACTCCAGGCTCAGGTTCCGCATGTGGGTCTGGCGAGGTGGATCTGAGTGGAGCACCATCTTCGACTGTTTGTGGATGGCCTCACGCAACTGTGCCCTCGTCAGGTCCTTGCCGAAATGCGAGAGCTTCGTGTCTGGGTCCAGGTTCGTGGCCAGGAAGAGAATCGCGTCCACGGCAGTCTCGGTCATGTTCTCCGTGCGGTGCATCGGGAGCACGTCTGGAGCCGCGGCCTCTAGCAGAGAGCGCCGCACTTTGAACGGCAGGGCGTTCTTGTGGAAGTAGGAGGCTCCGAGGTAGAAGTTCGACTTCGCGATGGGGACCATGTCGTCAGCGCGGAGAGGGCGCTCGCCGAACACGTGGTGGTCGTGGGGGTGCACCTCGAATATCGGGAGCACGACGCCTTCGCCAGTTTGCCCACCTGTGAGGCCGTTGTCCTTGAACAACGTGTCAAGCGTCTGCTGGCCAACCATGTTGGCCTGACCGTTCTTCGACATGCCGTAGCCTAAACGTCCTGACCCGACGCCGCTCATGACGCCTTAGCTCCCAAACGCTTGAGCCCGTGGGATGGCTACGGATTGCAGTTGCAGGGGATGTAACAACTCTGCGTGCTGTGGTGGGCTGGCGCTGGTGATTGCAGTGATGATGAAGTTGATGTTTATGTTGTGATGAGGTTGCCGTTGCATGGCGTGCGCTCGGAAACCCAACCCAGGGGGCAATCAGGATAACTCCTGGCATCGCACTCGCACAAGTCCCCCCTTTCATGCTCCCCCAAACCGGCGGCGAAAGAGGGATGTTTGCATGAGCAGTAGAGAGGACAGTTTCAAGACGGCCAAAGTGAATTGCACCACTTAGAGTGCACCACATAGCTTGCACAACATATATTGAACTGCGAAGGTTGCACCACATGGAGTGCACAATACAGATTGCACCATACAGATTGCACACATACACTGCACCGCATAGGTTGCTCGACGTAGCTAGCAACACATTTGTTGCACCACATATATTCTCCTTTCTCAAAAAAGAATAGGATCCCCCCCCCAGCGTTATCGCCGCCCCTTTCGGATATGTGAATCATATATGATTATGACCACATGTCCATCCTAAATATGGAATCACAATGTCCCAGGCCAACCGGTATCCCCCCCCTTGAGGCTCCCTTGTACAAACACTATGCGGTGACATGTTGTGTTCTGACATAACACTTTTTCGCGAATCCCGTTGTAAAAAATGGGACGAAGTGCACACGCGCGCGT